TCTAGACAGAGAGATCAGTAAACTTTGGTCCATGAGCAAATCCAGCCCATCATCTGTTTTTGTAAATAAAGTTTTATTGGAAGAAAGCCAAGACCATTTGTTTACACATCATCTACGGCTGTTTTCCCACTACATCAAAAATGTTGACTACTTGGCACTTAAGGGCCATGAAGTCTAAAATATTTACTCTCTGGTCTTGTACATAAAATGTTCGCTGCCAGCCCATGTTCAAAACAGAGAGTTACATAAATGGTAATGATTATGTAATAATTCAAAGAAAATGCTGAACTCTTCCCTTAGCAGAGAATGATTCCTCAGACATAATTTCTCTCTTCTAAAACTCAGAAACAGAGATTACAAAATTGAAATTCAAGCTCTTATAGCTGTTTCTTACAGTCAGGAGCAGCACACTGAAAAGCAGTACCTAATCAATTTGATCTGCTGTCTTTCTGATTTAACAATTAAATACATGGTTCCATATAAGGAGAATAAAATAAGTAACTGGGCTGAAAACAGAGAGGTCACAGGAGCGGTGAAAAGTTGACACAAATTAAGGACCAAGTGTCCAATTCATAGTAGATAGAGAACCCAGGAATGAGCTGGGCATGGGGTCTGAGAGATGTGGGTAATGCCCACCCTTATTACTGACAACTCTAACACATGACTACCAATTAATAACTACTATACATTATTATAGATTTGCCAGTCATTCAAAGAGATTCTGTCATTTGTGACAGCATGGATGAATACGGAGGACATTATGAGTTAAATGAAATAAGTTAAAGAAAGACAAATACATTTTTGCTCACATGGAGAACCAAAAAGAGTCGATCTCATATAAACTGCAGTGGAATAGGCTGAGAAGCAGGGAGGAAGATGGGAGAAGGGGAGAGGTCGATCAAAAGGTAAATAATGTTACCGTCAGAATGGAACAGGAAGCTCTGGTGTCTCTGGTGATTGGTAGCTAACAAGCATGGACTGAATGCTTCAGAGAGCTAGAAGAGAAGACTTTGTTCTCACACAAAGAAGTGCTAAAATCTTTAAGGTTGTTTACCCTGAGGTGATCATTACACAATCTATACATGTACCAAAAGATCACACTGAACTCCAGGAACATACACAACAACTAGGTGTCAAAAATAAAAACAGCAGGCTACGAGGCAAGTGCACCTAGATCCTGAACCCACGATCCATGGGAGGAAGGGGCAACCACCCCGGGAGTCTCCTGTCCACCTACCAGAGCACTGGGACGTACCAGGGTGATGTATCAGGGTGGAACAGCCTGATAACGCATATCAGGGAACGAGAATGAACTGAACAAATGAGGAAAATTGGCAGAGTTCAGCTAGCTCCTAGTGCAGGTCCAGGCCCTAGGCACATCTCCAAATTATATACTGCTGCAGATATTCCAAATTTTTAGGGGGACATGTTTTCCATAACCTTAGAACACTTTCCTCCTAGTCAACCCAAATACACTCTGTATGGAATTCTTCTAGTCTCTGAATAAACTGTTACAAAACGGACTTGATGGTGACTTTTAAAAAATTGTTATTAGTACCTGTTTGCAGTACATAATGACTATTCCCTGTGGGGGGAGTTCCTCCATGTACATAACTCATCTTACTTCCTTCATCATTCCCTTTCCCCTCTCTTCTCTCCCCATCCATTTCTGGGTCTTCTTCATTTTCGTGAAAGTTCTATCTCACTATTCGCTATTATCTGTTTGTTACTTTGGTCTCTGTTTATATAGACCATGGTACAACGTTATTCCTACAACTGACTCAAGTCTATCCGTTTCATGGCAGAGTCGTACTCCACCGTGTATAAAGGCCACATTGTGCCATCCACTCAGCAGTGGATGGCATCCAGGCTGCTTCAAGCTCTGGCTCCTATGAATTGCGCTGCCATAAACATGAGCATTGAACATGCGTCACTGTAGTACCGGGTCTAAGTCTTTCAGAATGACACCGAGAAGTGATCTTCCCTTACAGAGGCATCTACTGCTCCCCATACATCTTGGGAAGAAGAGTCAGGGATTTGCGGAGGCAACTTTGCATTGGTTAGGGTCGCATCCTTTAGCTACGACTTTAGGCAAGAAACGTTGCTGTCCCCCGCCATCCAAACTGACATGAGATACATCTATTTAAAGGGGTGCATCGATACCAATAGACTACAGGAAGGGGCAAGTAATAGCTAAGAGGGAATGATTTTCATGGAAAAGTTTTTGCATTTGGACAAGTAGAAAATGGAACTTATTCCCTATATTGACATGATACATCTGAAAAAAATATGAAAGGGGAGAATCATTGATGTTGTTTCCATAAGATGCAGAAAGAAGCGTGAACTCCACACCCCTGAAGCACAGAAGCTAGGTGAGATCAGGTTTGCGAAAGAACCCACAGCCCACACAAGCAGTGGCATCAGAGCAGAAAGGATTCTCGGCAGAGGGCAGTGAGGGGCGGGTGATCCAGGGAGGATCCGAGGTAGCAGCACTCAGCACAGCACAAAGCCCTGGACGGGCCGGGACAAGTCCCTGATATTAAGCAACATCCAGCAGTGGCACCCGAGGACATGCAGGAACAGAGCGCAGAGGCAGGAAGCTGGAGGGGATGGCACTGAGGGGCAGGGGACAACCAGGAGGCGAGGAATCCAGCCTGAAGGACAGGCTCACCCTGTCCTGCTGCGTACCCTGCTGGGAGGCAGGACTCGGGAAGCAGGAATAGCATCCCTAGTGGGGAAGAGGGACAGGCGAAGGCTGAGCCCGCTTCTCCAGAGCATCAAACATGCAAACGAAAACTGAATCTCCCACAAGCGAGGCAGCAAGGAGAAATGGTGGAATCCCCAGAGACAGAGCACAAACGGGACATTTAAGGAATCCTCGATATTCTCCATGTTACAGAGATGGCATCAGCAGAGGCCATCATAAAGTGAAAATAGACTGTGATAAAAATGAAAACACAATGGCAACTCACTAGTTAAACTTCAGAGCACACGTTGACAAAGCTAAGAATATAAGCGAGCTAAAGACTAGGCTGAGGAATTTTCCTGGACACAAAAAGCCACTGGAAGGAGGAGAAAGGAACAGTAAGAGGTCAAGAAGACAGATCAAGAGCCAGCCTGTCTTCCTGCTTTTCCTCCTCCCTGCCTGCCTGCCTGCCTTGGTGAGGCCTTGCAAAGAAGGCAGAGTGGAAAGGACAGGAGAAAGTAGCCAAGACCTACAGCACAACAGGGGCTCCTCAGAACAAAAACGCCTCAGCTACTAAGCAGGGAAAATGGAAAAACACCACAAAGAAACAACCAATAGTTCATAGGATAAAACTCAAAACTTCTGAAAAACAAAAGAGAGAAAAAAAATTTAGGGGTAAGCAACAAATAGGGAAAATTCTGTTTACAATGTGTAACAAGCAGATGCTAATACTGGAAATCACAACCAGTTACAAAATGTTAGAAGCTAAACACTCGGTTGAATACTGGACCCTTTATGCAGATCAATGCCTACAATCTTCCCAGTGGCCTACACGGTAGTTAATATGACTTTCCTTATGTTACAGGTGATGCTATAAGACAGAAGGGGATCCAGAACATTTCTTAGAGAAAGATAGCCAGGAATGAAGAAGCTAAGGTTCAAGCCTTAGCAGACTAGCTCCACTGACAGCTGTTCAACACACACTTTTTTAAAGTAAGGCCTATCATTCATATCCTCCCCTGTGCTGAGCTGGGCATAGTGTATCCATCACAGCGTCATTGCTGTGGTTTGTGTCTAGATGTCCCCCCAAAGCCTCTTGCAGTCATAGATGGGAATTTTTTCAGAGGTGGCTGGATCTAGGGTGTGTGATGCTGGGATTAAGGGTGTATGATTCCTAAATCAGTCCACTGATTCATTTGGCACTGCCCTAATCCCCAATAGATAGAATATAAAAGGGGCTTAAAGAGACTACTATGATTCCTTGCTTACTCTTGCTGGCCTGCTTCTACTCTTCCTTGCCACCCTGCCTGGAGCCAGCCAACCATGAACTGACCCTCTGTGAACTGTGAGCTGAAATAAACCTCCTCTCCTCTAACTTTGGGTGTTGGGTATTTTGTGTTAGCAAGGAGAAAAGTAACTAACACAGTCATTTATACTGCAGAGGCAGGATATCGATCATCAGTAGAGAATGGATAAATAAGATACTATGGAGTGTCATGTATCTGAAGGAAATAAAACATATTTACATGCAAAACCGTGGTCAACCTTGAAGATATGTCATAAAGCTAAGGAGTTTACTGTGGAACAACATAGTCCCAACTACATTGTAGTCCCAACTTAATTTAAAATAAATGGATACGGACATATGTAAAAGGCAAACAAAACACTCATGCTCAGACAGTCACTATTTAGAGTCCAGAGGGATTCAAGGCGAAATAGATATGGACAAAATGGCATTTCCATCAGTCTGTACTTTTGAAGATTTTAACCTTAAAGTCTAATCACATCCTTCTTTCTCTGTGTCCGTGAGTGTGACTATGTGTTTTACTGAGAATTGGACCAAGATCCTTTGCACTAAGCTCTCCTAAATTTAAAAAGAAATTGAGAAAAGTTCTCACCAGCTAGCCAAGTTGCCCATACTAGACTCAAACTTGTGGTCCTCCAGCCTCAGCCTCCCACAGTTCTGGGATTATGGGCATCCAGTACCACACCAATCTTTTTCATAGATAATTAACAAAGTAGGATCATGGGGACAATTTTGAACAGCACTTGTCTGTTGTAAAGCTGTCACAGGTATCTCATTTCATTCTAAAACAACTTCCTGTGCTCACTAGTATTTTTAATACGGAAAAGGAGTAGCAGGGCTTAATGTGCTTAAATCGTTCTCTGCAAATATTGTGCACCTAGAAAGGCTTAGATCTGAGTTCCAGTGTGTGCTGAACCCCACTGACATGGAAAGAGTTGATCTGCAACTTCCTCACCAGGGCGAGGAGAGAAGGTCATAGGCCACAGAACACCCGATGCATAGCCTTACCACAGCGATCTCGCACCACCAGGTTGCGGCCTTCCTTCAGGTGGATGGTGAGAAGGTAGGCGAAAGGGCCGGGGAGGTGACTCAAACCATCACCAATTTTCCCAAGAGCCTGCAGAGATGAAGAAAGCATTTATGTCAGGAGGTCTCAGGCACAAGCGAAAGAATTTCTGCTTAAGCAAAGTTATTTCTTCATGTAAAGGAGAAACAGAAGTTCACAACGGTCGAGTGTTATCTCAGACTCCTGCTCCCTTTGATAATTCAGTTCCGTTGTTTTATCAAAAGTCCTTTATATTTCCCCCAGTGGGATTTTATCTGACTTCAGAAGGAAGTCAGAACTTTCCAAAAATTAGATAAGTGGGACGGCATTCTGGGAAATACCTTTATAATCATCAACTGACTGTCAGCTGCTTTATTTTAACACTCACTACAGAGCGACAAGAGAGGGAATAGCATGGCAAAATGTAGTTGCAAAGCTGGGTCCCACCAACCTGTGTCTGTAATTCCATCTCAGGTGTAAAATGTCTCCTTTCTTTTCTCCATCCTCCTTCCACACCCCAGCTATGCTGGCAGCCCTTCTCTACCTGGGATGAAATTTTGTTCTGGGTTCGTTCCTGAGCTCATGCTTCCCTCAGGCATCTACCCTACTTCTGTGTCCACATGGGACTTTGTGTCTCTTCCCAGCCCTGTCCTGCCAGAGCCACATCTGCTGTGATAGGCTAGCAGAATCTCCTCTCCTGAGCCCCACCTTCTCACGTCCCTCCCCTCCGCAGTGTCTCCCTCCAGGAATGATGGATTCCAACGGCTATAATGTGAAGTCAAGTCTACTTTTGTAAAGCTATTGCATGAGTAAAATGAAATTTCAAATGTTTGCTTTTCCTCAGAGTGGACAGATGAAATTATTTATCATTCACTTATCAGACATTCAATTAATTGACCCTGTGGCAAAGGTTGCCCTTGACAGCCTACTTAAAGATTCAGAGGATTTCAAAATGGCTCTGCCTCCTTTACAATCTCACTGTTTATTGCCTCTGTGTATTTTTAGAAGAATCTATTCCACTCTGACCAATCAATAGACACTGGATTAATCTCTTTTGGCTAAAATTTACAAGATCTGTTTATGTAGGTAGATATAGTTCAGCATTCTTTGGAAACAAAAACAGGTCCAGAAGAAGCGCAAACATTTGTTGACAAGTATTTATGATGTTCAGTGTTTATTTTTAAGCAATATCACTCACAGATTGTTCTTCAAAATGTTGAGATGCCATGGAAGCATTCAAGTCACCATTGCCCGGTAGTTTCTGCAAAGGAAAAGCAAAGTCTACTTTTAAAAAGCAAATGAGTGTCAGGCCACAACGAGATTCTCTTTCTGGTCTTTCCCTTCCGAAATCTGTTATTTGCATACCCAGTTTCAGGTGTGTGGGCTCCCTTCCTGTGTGGCAAGAGGAGCTTCACTCAGAGGCATCAATCAGGTTAAGTCACTGATTAGAAGGTGGCTAAAGCCAATTACGTCCTCCACCATTCTGTGGGCACCCCTGCTTCACCCACATGCTTTGCATGTAAAGCTTTGATGTCAGCGAAGGAAGTACAGCAGCAGGCCATCCCTGCCAGATGCCTCCCAGCCTCTTGAGGGAGGTGGGTAGCTCAAGATCCAGAGACGTGAGCTGCCCACAAGATAGAAAGCCTTTCAAGATGTGATGTGAAAGACCTTCCCCAGCCAAAACTTCAGAGTCCAGCAACTGTACCAGCATGGACACCAAAGTAGGAGATATAAATTCCAAGCACAGGATGTCACAGCAGAAGGTGTCTGCTTCCTAACATGTATATGCCTCCTTCCCCAAAGAAATGGTTCCACTTCCATGGGGCAACAAAACATGCATCACTCGGCAGTCAGGATGGGTACACAGACTTTGCCACTGTGTCAGGTCTTCTATGCACACATGAGGAAATGTGTGGAAGAGCTACAAGACTTTGTGAGGTTCCTGGGCTGAGCAAGGGCAGCTTCCTGGAAAGAAAGGCAGAGTGCAGAGATCAGACACAAGGGGCCCCCCAGCAATTGGAGTATTGTGTGTTTAGTTATGAGCCAGGGTTGATTTCTTGTGTTACAAAAGATGGGATGTTCCCCTGCAAAGAAGTTTGAGAAGCCCCAATGTTATGGGCCACAATGGAAACAGGAAAGGAGTCTACAGTGATTGCTTCCTGGACCGTCATGAACATTGGTGGTGCAGGCCAGGATTTGAGGCACTAACAGCCCTGGTCCTTCCATCCACCCTGATCAGATTGTCTCGGGGCACAATTCAGAGGTCCTGCCTGGAGGTCAGGCTGCTTTCGAAGACAAACTCACTCAAATAGGACTTGAAGTAGCCAAAGAACAGAGCTCCAGATTACAAATTTTTGTGCCCCCAAGGGCACAGTGAGGCTATGTAACCAAGCAAGAGCTTGCTGGTCCACTGACTCTGCACATGGTGACATCAGGAAAGGCTCAGCTACGTAGAAATGAACTCTGGGCACAAGTAGGTTAGGAGCACCCAATTCCTAAGCTGGGAGGGACCGGGGCCCTGGAGTTGTTGAAATCTGTTCTTCTCAGACCTGTCTCTGTCCCTGTGAGCCCCAGATCTAGGGTTACTCAACTGTGAAGACTTTCTGTTCCACCCACGTAAAGATCCATAGAAAGGATGGAGGGGACTTCAGACAGTGTGAGCTTCTCCACGGCCCCGCCTTCCTGTCACTCTGCGAAGTGCCCCTGAAGCAGGAAAAGCAGAGGCTTCACCCTGCATGTGGGGCTGAGCATGACAGTAGACAGCAGGGAGGCAGCAGAACCTTTGCAAAACAGCCTCTCATACCTGGTATCTCCTGTAGGCGCTGAAGTCTCAAAAGCCACCCAGGCAAGTTATGCAGAACAGTCTGAAGACTGCTGCATGACAACAATCAGGAACACATTCAATTTTCCTAATGTCAAAAGATTTTGCAAGTGCCTGTGGACTATCCAATTCCGTGCATCCAACCAGTTTCTCCCTGATTTGCTATGCCCCAACCATGCATTCACTAAAGCTAACATTGGATGTTCTGCAGCCTAAAACTCTCCCACTATTGTCTCCAGTTTTATTTAATGAATTAGTGCCTCACTTGACCAATTCTGCTTAAAGACAATGCTATAAAACCTCTGCTTAAACTGTATGTTACTAGGCAAGAATCAAGTAGGCTGGTGTCTTCCACATTTAACTGGAGGCATGGCCGGATGGATACTTAAACCCCTCCTCCCTCAACCAGATCAGTGTGCCATATGTATTCTCCCAGGACCAGCTCAATGCACTTAATGACGATGTTAATTAAATGGCAAAATTAGTCCACATCACCACCATCATTTAATACATGCTTTCAAGAATGAACAAAGGGCTTTTACTTAAATATGTGGTAAGTCTTCCGCTTACAACAACAGAGAAATGCAATGGGAGAATGACATTAATTCAATATTACAGCTGGTTTGACTCACAGAAAAGTCACAGAACTTAAAGTTATGGTTCCCATAGCCACTGTAACTGTCACATATCATACATACACACGAAGGTAGGAAAGCGGTTACCATAAAGAACAGCAAAATGTTCCATATGCACAAGAGGACAAGTTACAGCCACTGGGGGACACATAACTTTGAATATTCCCCTACATTCTTGCATAGAACCTAAGCATTATCCACTGAGTAGATGTGTTATTTTTACCTCTTCCGTACACCTAAACTAAATCATTGACTTAGTTTTTTTAATTAAAAAGAGGACAACTAATATTTACGTCACCAAAAGAAGTAAACCAATGTCATTAGATTATTTTTATGTTCTCAAGAAGTATAATTAAGCACTCAAACTTGTTTCTTTACGTTTCCTTTTAAACCCACACAGTAAAATTGACATTTTGCCTGTGAGAGTACTATGATTTTTAACTTGTGCACTGATTTGAATAATCCTTTACGATCAGTGCGGGACAGTTTTATCACCCCAAAATCCTCATTTATAGTACACTACTATGGTAAATTATTCCCTTAATTTCTAACTCACACCAATCACTGATCTCTTTAAATTATATAGTTTTATCTTTTTCAGAATATGACAGCAGCAGTAATCAGTAGCAATCAATAATAATACAACAGCATGCAAACTTTTATATATGTCACTTAGCACAATGCCTTTGAAATCATACAAGTGATCAGCTGTATTATGCTTTTTATTAGTGCATAATATTCTATCATGTGGAATAGATTACTTATTCACTAAACATTGGTTTTAACAATCTTAAACATGTTGATTGGAAGTACTCAAGAAAGGGAAAATAATTTGAAAATCAAAACTAATAAAACAACATGACAAAAGCTGTCCAATTACATAAAAGCATCAAGAAACACTAGTATAAAGGTAGTCATCCCTCACACAACTCCTGCCACTGAACTTTATATGAGTGGGATTTTTATTATTTTTTATGATATTTTGCATCCATATTTCCATTCCATCTCAACACTGAAATTTATGAGAACGTAGTATATACTTTAGATGATGCTTTCCCATCTACAAGAATACACATTTATTAAAATTCATCAAGGCATGGGGAAGTAAGAGAATGGATGCATCAATTATCCAAAAAAGAACATCTCTAGTCATCAAGGATCTCAAGAGCAAGACACCAATGTGAATAAATATTTTCCTTTTGTATCCATTAAATGTAATCTTGTACAAACACCACCTCCCAAGTGGCCATCAGAAGATCTGACCATGCCAAACACACAGGAAGTCTCATTAAAAACTATGTAAGCAAGCATTGGCTGCCTAAATTTCAATGGATGATGATACACGTGCACATCCAGAAAAACTAATTAAGAGTAAAATGTCTGCTGAGAGGATCTATTATTTTATCTTTGAAAACTGTTAAAGTATGAGTGAAGCAAAGACTATACATATACGCAACACATTTTAATTCTGTAACCCACTCTAACCTTTATATATGATTACTTAAAAAGATAGGAGTCATAACCAGGTGTTGTAGCACAAACCTGGAATCTTAGCACTTGGAAGGCTGAGGCAGGAGGATTTCTGTGAGCTCAAAGCTACCCTGAGCTACATAGTGAGTTCAAGGCCAGCCTGAATTACATAGTAAGACCCTGTCTTAAAAAAAAAAAAAAGTATAGGGGTAACAAACCTAAATACCTACAAGACAAAGAAAATAATAAACAAAAGGGAGTGAATGATCAGATTGACCATTAAGCAGCCTCTGGACAAAGTCATAATAAAAAAAAATAAGCTATATGGTAACTGGAAATCACAATTAAGACATTTTAATAAGGCCTACCAAATTTCTAAGTCTGTTACATTTCAGAAAATATGCCATCATATAAAGTACACATATATGCACATAAATATATATAGTTATATGTTTCTCTTGTTCCGATGACTGTTTTATGAAAGGAATAACCCTGGAATACTTTCTAATTTAATAAGCATAATATAAACTGTGTGTTTATATTCTGCTAAAACACAGGCCAGTTACAGCCCCGAGCCAAATCTAGCCCACACTTGCTTATACCAGCAAAATGGAATTGAAAACTCTCCCCACTGATTCATTTATCTATTGTCTAGGCCTGGTTTCAGGCTACAACAGCAGAAATGAGTAGATGTGACAGACAACTTAGGGCCACAAATCCAAGCATGTTTATTATTTTCCAGAAAAGGTGTGCTAATCTCTGGTTTTACTCCAAAACCTCCATTTACATTTCCCTAATATTTGTCCATTGACCTTCCATGAATGATTGCATGCTTATTTGAATGATACTTTAAAAGAATAATAACTTCCTTTATATTTGCTTAGTACTTCTTAATTCACAAACACACTCTCCCCTTCGCTTGCCAAGAGGAGTCCACAGGCCAGCAGCAGCAGCTCCAATTTACACATCAAGAATTCAGAGCTGGAGTCAAAGTGATTGCAGAGAGAAGCGAGAGGGCAAGGCCTTCAGGAGCACCCTGGGTACCCGCTCCTATCTCTGCACCCAACACTGCCTCGCCCAGCACAGAGGGGATACCACCCAATCATAGTGAAGATGGCTCTGGAGGCCCAAAGATCTGGATTGAAATCCCACCTCTGTGATTTACTTCTGTGTCTTTGAAAATGTGACTTAGAATTCAAAACATGGAGACTTCTTTCAAAGGGCCACAAAAGATATTCACCTTTAAAAAGTTATTAGAAGAAAACCTCTCTGGGCAAGGTCCTGCGCTTGGTATGTGTTTTGTATATGGAGTAAACCAAGTTGATGTAGTCTGGG